GGCCGGAGGGCGCTACGCGCTCGGAACCTAGCGCATTTACATTTGAACTGGAAAGCGCTCTTTCTCTTTGTTGTTTTGTCATTTAAGTCTATATTTTCAACCTTTGAACCAAGAACATGTGATTCCTTAGTAGGATTACCAATCAAATCGACGCACTTGGGGTTTTCTTCTGGCATGCTTATGATGTAGAAAATGCAAGACGACGCCATCCGGACCGCCAGTTCATCCCGCTTTCATCCCGGTAACCGGGCTGAAGTGTCCATATGACTACCCTGCTAGCAGAAGCCCTTCGATCTTCCTAGATAAGTCTTATATAGGAAGATCGATCGGCCTCTGCTCGCAGGGTACCACATGACCCTTTCCGTCAACAAACCGTAGCACGCTAATGTGCGAGGGTCTCTCGCTTTTCGTGCTTTGCCTCCCTCCGGCTGTTCATGAACGTCGTGCAATATTTGTTGCTTCGATTAGTTGCAGGAGTGCTCTATACAAAGTGAATGCGTGAATAAATAACAATCTGATAATAAAAAATCAAAGACGGATTCTTGAGTCAGTTCACAATGCACTCAGGGCGCTCATCACTCATCAGACGAAAAAAAACAAACAAACGAGAGTATAGCGTGACCTGCTTGTCAAAAACAATGACGTAGAAGATATAAGCGTTCTCTGATTGGTAACAGAAATACATAATCAAATTTCAAGAACAAAAAAAGCTTAACTACAAACGGGGTTCTTTGACTGAAGTTAAAACGTAGTTGTACAGTTAAGGTGGCTCCGTAATTAACCCATGAGCATTTAGCTGTGACAAATTTTCCGTCATAACTTTTTCGATTTTAACGCGATGGCTGCGAAACTTTGCAATTAACAACAGATATCAATCGGCAATAATACAAAATATTCCGATTTCATTGATGGTAAATATTTCTTGAGAAATTAGCGCTTAAAAGGACCCTACTGTTCAAAGAAAATCGCGTCTAGTAAAAAATTTTGCTGATATTTTTTACTTAAATTTCTGGTATCGGCTTTAATTGATATAATAAATATGCCAGAGGAATTTCAGAAAAATCGTTGGAGCGGAAGTCCGTAACTAAAAGTCGGTCAAAATTCAGCTGTGAAATTGTTTTGGAATTTCAAAAATAAATTACTATCAGAAAGAAGGAGACACCAGTTTCAATTTTCGGGACAAGCAACTTCAGTGTGTTTCCTAATTCTGAAAACAGAAGCCGATTGCCTATCGTGCTATTCTTTAAAAGGTATTTTTCACTTTTAGAACCACTATAAATTGCTCGAAACTTTGCTCTGACATCGAATGACTTGTTCCTCGACATTTTTAAAATATCCCTTGGCAATTTTGGTTCAAACTCCTGCTACATACATTTTGATGTATTGCAAAGCCGCCCCAACGGCTTTTCGTGCTTTACGTTGTTTCCAATTCAGGAAAAAGGTATTGGGATTGTAAGCTACCTAGTATCGAAGCTCAGATAGAACTGTCCAGTACCTTTGTTTACGACCAGAAAATGAGCACGAGCGGCAGCTCTGCGAGGAATTCGCACCTCAACCAGGGGGGACGAGTGACAATGATGCCCATGTCTGTGAACCGATCTGTATAAACATGTATTGCAGAGCAAAACATAATAATCAAGAAAAAAATACCCATTCATTGAAGGAAGGAGTGACAAAAATTTCGGAGTTGTAAATTTATTAACGGGCAGTATTTTTGCGATAATTTTATTTTGCACTGTGATGTTATTTGGATCACAAGCATGGTCATCATTGTCGTTCGTCCCCCCTGGGTGAGGTGCGAATTCCACGCAGAACTGCCGCTCGTGCTCATTTTGTAGTCATAAACAAAGGTGCTGGACAGTTCTTTCTGAGCTCTGATACGAGGTAGCGTCCAATCTCAATACTTTTTTCCTGAGTTGGAAGCAACGAACGGCAGTAAAAGTCGTTGAAAATGCATGGCAATACATCAAAATGTATGCAGCAGGAGTTTGAGCCAAAACTGCCAAGGGATATTTTAAAACTGTCGACGAACAAGTCATTCTACTTCAGAGCAAGGTTTGGAGCAATTTATAGTTCTTCTAAAACTAAAAAGTACCTTTCAAAGAATAGCACGATAGGCAATCGGCTTTTGTTTTAAGAATTAGCAAGCGTTGAATTTACTTGTCCCGAAAATTCAAACTGGTGGCTCCTTCTACCTGATAGTAATTTATTTTTGAAATTCCAAAACAATTTCACTGCTGAATTTTGACCGACTTTTAGTTACGGACTTCTGCTCCAACGATTTTTCTGAAATTCCTCTGGCATATTTATTATATCCTTTAAAGCCGATACCAGAAATTTAAGTAAAAAATATCAGCAAAATTTTTTACTAGACGCGATTTTCTTTGAACAGTAGGGTCCTTTTAAGCACTAATTTCTCAAGAAATATTTACCATCAGTGAAATCGGAATATTTTGTGTTATTGCCGATTGATATCTGTTGTTCTTCGCCAAGTTTCGCAGCCATCGCGTTAAAAACCAAAAAGTTATGACGGAAAATTTGTCACAGTTAAATGCTCTTGTATTAATTACGGAGCCACCTTAATGGAGTTCACTGGGAAACTAAAGAGAATCGACAGACGACGTTTTTAATATTTTGTATGAGAAACGAAAGCGGGTTCCATGGCAGAATGTCCTGATGTCTTTTAGACCAGGTTCAGAGCGACACTTAACTTCCGCCATCGATTTGTTCAAAGCTGTAAATTTCTGTCGGTCATCCTTGGATTTCCGCAGGCGAAGGAAACTAATGATGTAATTTATCGGGCCAAGATATTACCCAACATGGCACGGAATAGATGAGCATTTTAATATTATAAAGTGAAAACAGTGAGAAACCGAGTTGTGTGCATCTGCTTCGTCACAAAACCTACAGAACCTATCAGTTTAGTGGAAAATAACTTGCATCTGTCCATTTTGAAGTTACATCAGTTGAACTTGAATTAAAAACGCTACTAGCGCGGGTGCGTTAAGCAAAACATGAAGCAAAAGAAAATTATTAATCAGTAGTCTACATTTAGATGATATGGACTGATATTTGGAGTTTTTGCACATTAACCGATCCACCTGAAAGAAATTACGAAAGCTATGCTTTGAAATACATGTAGACAAAGAACGTTCAAGGTAAAGTTAACTTCAATTTTATACAGACTTGAACTGTTTTCTTTAGATCTCTTTCAGCACACACTTAAAATCAGTTAGCTTGAACAGAACACCATTCTTGGAAGCGGAGATGTAGTTTCCTTAATTCAGCATCTCTTAAAAGAGAATAAAAGTATCTTTAATTGATCATGTATTTTACTCTGCACCACTGAACTTGGTTTCATTTTATCACATTTTCATTCTAAAATACAATATCTTTTTGTTAACCACTCATTAGTCTTTTTCAAGTTTGTAAATACATGGGAAAAGCTATTAACTTATTATGGGGAGGCGAACGATCTTTTCAACGTTATTAACTAGTGTTACTTCTCGCGCCCGATACATGGCTCAGTACTTGTAATGTTCTCTTTGTGTTTGAATCACACGAAAACAGTCTGTGCAGCTTACTTGAGTGAAAACCGTGACATGTCTATCTACGAATTTTGATTCGCAGTTTTTTAAACTAGGGAATTCATATTGGTTTGCACGTAAACAGCAGTTTATTATGCTGTCGTGACACATATCTCTGTAAATTAAACTGAGCCAGACAAATTGCAAAATCTTATTTTATCACTATTTTAAGCGATTCCTTAATTTAAGTTCTTGCTATCTTCTTTTTGCGTCTTTTAAGTGAATATTTTGCTGTCACTGGTTGCTTGTCAACATTGACTTGGTATTTTTTTTTTATTTATTCTCAGCTTAGCTAAGGCGAAAGGGATCCCTTACCCCAATTTTTGCTCAAAATTAACTTTAAATGTTCATTTTATTTAGCATGTTTAGTGGTAGATAATTTAAAAAATAAACCTTAAAAATTCAACCGATAATATGACCGATTATTTTTCTCTAGGACCGGTTACAATGAATATGTGTATAAATTTTGGCGCCAACTTTTAAAGGGCGCGCGGTCGCTCTAGGAACAGGAAATGAATTTTCCTTCGTTTTAGGACGGGGCATAGCAAGTATTCTTTGTATTTTTTGTCCAGAATTTGTTCTTACACTTTCAAATTACGAACTATTGTTCGCTCGTTTTCACAGTATATAAAGAGGGCATTTGTGCTGGAATATTCATTCCGAGAGATTACAAGAGCTTACGAGACGCTAAACTTTTTTCACCGTGACTCAACGCTTTAAATCACTACGAAAGTTCTGTAGCCGAGCATGTCCGGATCTGGAGCAACCAGTCTTTCATCGACACTAAGCTTGGTACACTCACTCAAGTCTACTTTTCCACTTTCCACCTGAATTAAGCTACCCAACCTGTAGTTTCTCTACTTGGCCGCTTCGTCTTCTTGAGTCATTCGAATAAGAAGGAAAACATTTTCCTCATTTTGGGGCGATGTTTTTGTTTTTGAATTTTTTTCGGTCGTAAAAAAATGATTTGGGCAACTTGCGAGAATATTTTGGGCAAATGGAAAGCCATTTCAGAATCTCTTTGTCAAGACTAAACACAACTAAAACTAACACTAGAATATAATCCGCCGTGGCAATATTTATGCTGCACGTTCGGCTAACTAATAAAACTGGTAAAAGCCTTGTAAACCTACCGATTGTTTAAAGTTGTCCCAGTAGAGAAACAAGGAACACTTTGGGAACTCATACTTGCAAATCTTCGAATATAAGGGGAAAAAATTCTTCTTGCGGACTGAACTTACTGAACTATTAGAAGTACCGTATGCAAATTTTTTGCCAATATCCTGTCCATAGGATAAGTGACGTCAGCTTTCCAGAGCAAGTTCACGGTTTGGAACTCGTCTCCAGGGTCTTCTCGTTATTGGAAAACGAGAAATTGCAGTGGCTTTCGTGCCGTTCCAAAAATTTTTCATTATGAGGCTAGACCGATTGCACATGTTGATATTATTCTTATTTCTTCCTAATCGTAAAGCCATCGCCTCGATTAATAAGAGAATCGTTCTGACACAACCCACTGTAATTTTGGTCTCGTACGATGGTTTCCGGTGGGACTACATGGAGAAAGTTGATACTCCGAATTTGAATTTTATCGCAAGTAATGGCATCAAAGCGAAACACCTTCTCAATACCTTTGTTACCAAGACATTCCCGAATCATTTCACGTTAGTTACAGGACTTTATGAGGAAAGCCACGGGATCGTAGCAAATACGTTTTTCGATCCTGTTTTCAACGACACTTTCTACTTAGATGCGGTGTCAAAGCATTACTTGGATTCAAAATGGTGGAACGGAGAACCGGTGTGGATCACGAATCAAAAAGCTTTTAAGAAAAGTGCTGTGGTGTTTTGGCCTGGTTCAGAAGTGAAAATAGAAGGCCAGTACCCTACACACTATTTACCCTATAATCCGTCACTTTCCTTCGAGAAACGAATAGATTATTTATGTACAATGTTAGAGCAGGATGATCCTCCAAGCTTTTTGGCCGCTTATTTTAACGAGCCAGATCACAGTGGGCATAAATTTGGCCCTGATTCACCAGAGATTAAAATTGTTATTCGTAGAATGGATAATGTCACTGGATATCTGTTGGAAAGTTTACGAAATCGAGGATTGTTGAATCAGGTAAGAAGATCTAAGCTTAAATAATAACCAAATCAATCTGCAGTTTACTGTGAAAGGTTGACATCAGCTGACGACAATTGTGTCATCAACAACTATGTACGCGATGATGACGTTTATTTAAGCTTGATACTTATGGTGTTGCATCACGGAGCCCTTTCCCTCCTTAGCATTGTCTGCTGCTGGCTTGTGTCACAAACAAAACTAAATCTCGTATTATGATATGCATGCAGCAATTTTACTTGTAACCATCCCCCCCGGGGATTTGCAAGATTTTTCTTTCCTGGTGGTCTATTCCCCACTCCCGGGCATGCAGAAAGAGACAATTCCCCCGAGCTTCTGATCAACCACATATACGTTTCTTGCTACATCCGTTGATGCATACAAAAGGAAATCGACCTATTTTCACAACTTTTATGAACGTTTTCCTCGAGGGAAGGATAACGGATGTTGTAACGTAGTTAAAACATAAAAACTAAATTTGAAAACAAGAACAAAGAAGAAAAAACTCCTTAAAAAGAGAACACTGTCTTCATGAGAACACTGGACTGAATCACTGTTTCTCTATATATGTCACTAGTAATAGTTGACACTACAGCTGCCCCCGCTCGGTATATTGCCGGTCAATAGTATTCTTGCTCGTTGTGTAGCCCTTTGAAATATACCAATTCATAAGGAAGATTTTCACACATATTCCACACAATAGGTGAGATAAATACAGGAAATGCAAGGTTCCATGCACAGTTTCAGGTTGATTTACACAGCTTTGATCAAAACATTCTCAGTTTCGAGAATAGTTTATTCTAAACCATAAGAAAAGATTTAATAAGAAGTTGAATTTTTTGCTATTTCTCTTTCACTTTTTACATTCAGTTTATTTTATTTGCCGGAAAGGAAGCCTTAGAAATTGAAAGGAGGTTTGATCAATTCACACTCACGCATAGTCTTATTTTAAACTTTATAGCAGAAGGACATCTGTGAGCAGGGAATAAGTCAGCACAGAATTTGGTTGTCGGCAAATTTCTGTAATCGTCCATCGATATGCTAGTGAGAAGCTACCAGTTGTTTTTCACTCATCTTGCTTATTCCAGTCAAAGAGAGAGAAAGAGTGTCTGGCAAAGGTTTCCAATGAAAGATTTGTGAACTTGTGTCTGGCAAACTCTCCAAGTGTTTATATATGCACAGTTATACGCACCTTATAACTTCTTCTGTGCTTAACAAGTGTCGTTAAAATTTTGGTCCATAATTTTCTCTGAAACAACTGCTCCACAGAATGTCACTGATAACACGTAACGCAAAAAAGTGTTGAAGTATGACTGCACTATAAATGTCACAAAATCTACCTAAGTGGTCCCTTGGGGATGATCTGTCTTTACGTCATCCTAACCATTTCATACTTGCGGGCGCAAACAATAGAAACGTCATCATTACCTACCGATTCCTTGCAGCCCCATTCAAGCAAATCAAGATTTTTTCTAAATTGAGTGTTTGACTGTATATTTCAGCTGTAAGTACTTTCCTTAATATATGCACGAGTTACTAGAGTGCCTCCTCGGGATTTCGCCTTCTGGGCGAAATCCCTGCCGGGGCAAAAAGCCTTGTATTCGTTTTCATATCATTATTTAAAGCTGAGCTGAAGAAATATTTCTTTCCTTCCTTTTTTAAAAAATAAAATCCATTCAAGTATGCACCATACGCACATTTGTTTCAAGTGTTAAAACATACCTTTAAATACAGACTTTATTTTGAAAAGTTATTCCTCTCCAACCACTCTCCGACAAATTCCTGCCAGTAAAGTTGGTTGAGATAGGTGAAGGACAAAAAAAACATACTGTTTTGTTCTTCATTTGTTGTACTGGATTTATTCAATTATGAAGAGGGTGTCTTTTCGTAAATGCTTGTGATATGTTATATATGTGGTAAGATGTAGTAACTCTTTACGTGTCCCATAAGATTATTATAATTAGGTAACTCATGGATCTAAATATATTTCCATTGTATCTATATGACCCACTTTAGGTAAACCTTATTATCACAAGCGACCATGGCATGGCAGATGTCAACAACTCCTGTCTTATCCAGCTGGATCATTACATTCCATCAGACTGGTATACACTCATCACTGATCCAAACAGGGCAGACCATGCTTCTAATGTGTTTTTTCATATTCTACCCAAGAAAGGAAAGTTGAATGGCACCTACCAAAAGCTCAAGACTGTTCCACATCTATATACATACCTCAAAGAAGAAATACCTGAAGAGTTTCATTACAGCCATAACCGACGTGTCATGCCGATTTTCATTGTCGCAGAAGAAGGATGGACCATTACAAAAAACAAGTCGAGAATAGACAGTCGTGGTAACCATGGCTACAGTAACCAATTCTCTGATATGCACCCCTTTTTTCTTGCCCAAGGACCTGCATTCAAAGAAGGGTTTGTTTCAGAACCTTTTGAAAATGTGAATATATACTCTCTTATGTGTCATATACTGGGCATTGAACCAGCGCCAAACAATGGCTCATTACAAGCAGTGCAGCATCTGCTAAAGGAAAAGGAACAAAAACACGATTATACAGTGTTGATAGTAGTCAGTGTAATTTCTGTTTTAGTTCTTTTGTTAATGACTTATGGTATTGTCTCATTTTGTGTCAAAAATCATTGTAGAATGAGGCAGTATGGGCATATATATGACTTAGGAACATCAGAATTGTTTGATTTGTAGACACTTCCATGTGGGTTAAAGGGGCTGTGTCACAGTTTTCTGGTTCATTTTGCTAATATTGCAAATATTAAATGTCCTTCCTCAGAATGGAACTTAGCGTCAATGACAAAATTACTGGTAAATTACAAAATTACAGCTTAAAGTTGAACTGGATATGTCTCCTGGTCAAAAATAATATTGATTGTTACAGATGAGAAAACATTTGAAAAACTGTTCTCTTAAAGTTTTGACCTGTTATTTTAATGTCTCACTCAATTAATTATTTGGTGGGAGCTCCCCACTGTTTGAATTTTAATAGATTTCATGACTTATCTCCTTTACAATAAAATAATAATAGGTTATTGACCAGTGATGCCAAGTAAACATAATTAGTATGTGTAATCAAATGGTGACGAGTGAAATTAGGGAATAATTTCATGCGCGTTTTGTCCAAATAAAGGCTCGGGAAATTATTAGGATTTGGACAAAACGCAAGTGAAATTATTCCCTTATTTCAAGATTGTACCATTTGATTACCTATTAATATCATGGGTGACGAATTACGTTAACAATCTTGGATTTTTGACATGTTCATCCTGGATCGTATCGATCGAGAACTGCACTCTCTCAAATGTCTAGACCTTAAATTTGGCTTATGAAGTTCAGAATTTTTTAGACTTTTTCGGCAAAATACCTTTGAGAATCCTTCTTGATGTTCTCTTGTGTGTTCAGGTTTTCTAAAGCGTCTTTTTGTGCCCTGACATCTTTATTCATGTCATTTTAAAACTTTGTCGCCATCTTGACCCTGAGACGTACGGAAGGGTTGCCATGGCAATTTTGTGAAATTACATATTAACGCTGAAGTTTTGTGCCAAAATTAAGGAGTAATTCGTCACCTATGATATTAGTATTATGATAAATTATTTATTAATTAGTTTGAAAGTAATGATAATATTGTTAATATCGCATATTGGTCCCATGTAAGGCTGTACAACCTTAGCCCCCCAAGCCCCTATAATGTTGCTTTGAAAAAAGCTACTTGGAAATCTCTTTTGCTTTTGCATAAAGATCATATGCTAGGTGCCCTGTATTTCACAGGCTCCCTACGATTTTTCCACAGAGCCTTGGCTCCCATCATGATAGTAAGATTTGTTGGACTATAGAAATTTATTTAAATTTTTTTAGAGTAAATTATTTTTTATATCTGTACATTTGAAATCTCTTTTTTTCCTGAATTTTTTGCAGTTGTTATTATAAACATTCTTACATGTTGTGTTCGAGTATTTCTTGCAAATGTTGTTAATTAAGTATAAAAAGTGTACAAAGTATGTACAATTTAGTAGACTCTCACCTCTAATAGGTGTATTAGTGCAACTTAAATATAACTTTTCACCTCTTTTGGACATTTCTCATCAATGCAATCAATTTATCTGTATTTACCTAAATATGTCTAACTCTTGCATCCTTTCCTTTGCTCTTGTTTCATAGTTTGTCTATGGAAGCAAGTGATTTAATGGTTACTTTTTTAAACGACTATAGGAGCTAAAAATTTTAAAGGATGATATAATGATATCCAATAAAATTGGGTGCAAATATTGTACAGTACAAAGGTATTGTGAAAACATGATTTATTGTGAAGCAATTCAATATTTTGGTTCTTTTCATTTTATTCACTCACAGGTTGATGGGCTTCACTCAGTCCTATTACCATTAAGACTTATTTATTGCCTGGTTCAGTATCCTCGATTGCTAATGGGCTACTGCATTTAAAATCCGTACCCCCGCGTTGAGGAGTTACCTTTTCTTCTTACCCCTTAAGATTGGCTAAAATTGCATTCACCCCTGAAGACTCCATAAAATATGTGTTTACCCCTGAAGAATTGGGTCATACCCCTGAAGAATATGGGTTGACCCCTGAAGAATTTTGTGAAAATTAAGGCTTCACCCGCAACGAATTCCATATTCTTTTACTCTACCCCTAAAGAAATCCTCAATTTTTATAACTTACCCCTGGAGAATTCCATGGTTCCTCAAACCGGGGGGGGGGTGCGGATATTAAATGCAATAGCCCAATTTTTTTTGTCAGCCAAAAGAAAAAAACATTTTGATCACTTTATTGTAGGACAGCGAGGATCTTAACATTACCAGAAAACACACCTTAACTCCAGGGCATTGCTTTCTTCTTCCTTTTAAAACATTCTTCAGACATGAAGCGGCGACAACAAACCACAAAGCAACGAGAAAAACGTCCATCACAATGAAAAACCCACGTTAGGGTTAGAATCAGACCTTCGGGGTCCCCCTTGAGCTTTAAATAGTCCTTATCAACCTTGAAAGGGACCATCAGCAGGGACATAAGCTTGAGGAGAAAGAAGAACGAAAACCTTCTGACATCTCTCGGGTATTGAAGTACAATGAATGATATCAGATCAAGTCTAAATTAGGATGGGATTCTCTTAGACAGCCTACGTGTAGCCTTACCCCCCACCGGAGACAATGGAAGTGAAGGACCCTTTTTTTCTCCGGGGAGTGGAGGGGGGGGAGGGGTACTGTCACTCGTTAACTAGTCAAGTATATAAAGATTACTTGTGGCCGAAAATTCCAGAATTGAGCGAAAATTTAACAAAGTCAATTAGTCAAGGAGAAACTGGGAGAAATATATCCGCAATCTCTTAACACCCAGATCTCCCACAGCCAAGGGAAATCCGGCTTAAGACAGGGTAAGATCTGGGCACGAGATTACTTTAAATGCACTATACTTTCTTTGAACTATGCAGCAAGATTTAAATCATAAACGGAAACATCTTGGCATACAGGCCGTTATACAATATATTATAGGATTTTGCTCTTTACCATTTTTTTTAACCCAAAATGTTCCCAGCCGAGGGTGATACAACAGTAGAAGGTCTTCTGCCTTGAATCCCTTGATGCCAGAAGCCACAACGTTAACTGAAAAAACCTACGAGAGGGATTTGGCGGCGGGAGTTGGACGGGATTGGATGACCCGATCATAGGGACGAATATTTTCTCTTAAAAAAATGAAACTCAGGGACTCTCTACATGTTGATCTATGGCAAGAGAGAATGATCTCATTTTCTCTTGTCTATGGCCAACTAACAGACTGAAATGCGACCAGTGTATTTTCTTTAAATCAGTGAAAATCCATCTCTGTAAAAAATCTGTTGCGGGTATCTCGCGGGTCAGTGACGGGACGAGACCTCAACACAGGTGAATCGCACCACCTGTTGCAACAGGTGACCTAGAATTTTCGCGCCCCTCTCTTCGTTAGAAAATAGCACCCGATTGGCTAGGAAGTCAGCCCATGAGAGTGGATGTTTACATGAACGTGCGACGCAAAATGGAGTCATCACTGTTTTCGGGCTTTCAAAACACAAAAATAAAGCTTACAGGCAACCTACATTGTAGGGCGTCTATCCAGTTTCCTCGAGTATTTTCACAAATTCACTGTATTTTTTCAGCTGGAGATTTCAAACGCCGCAAGTATTTTTCATATACTGATGGAGGATACACTTCATTTGGACAAAGTTAGTGAATTTCTACGGAATTTGTAAAGAAAGCCTTACAGTATTTTGGGGCTGGTCTTCCCTCCATGAAGCGGCCCGGCGCAAAGTTGACTAGCCCCATCGGAACAGTCAAATTTTGCACTTTAATTGCCGTACAACACTTGGAACTAAAAGCAGGGAAAAAGATAAAGGAAGAAGAACGAAGCTATCAAGTCGGCCAGAATTCAACTTCGAGGACTTTCGGGACAACAGGCAATCAACAGCCTGCCAGTGTAACTGGGCGTCAGGTCTCTTCTTTAATTTAATATGAACAAACGTGAATTTGGACTCGAACAATTCAGCCAAGAGCAATTTCTCGCTGGCGGTGTAACACTTCTTTTGACTGGCTTAATCGGCTTTATTGGTAACATTCTCGTACTTATAGTCACATACAGAATCCTTCGGCACAAGCGAAACATACCCAATGTACTGATACTATTTTTAGCGTGGGTAGACTTACTGGTTTTTCCTCTTGCATACCCCCAGGCGCTTGTAAAATATTTCTTCGGCATCTACATAGGAGACTACA